TACATTTCCTTCCACTGTGCCATGGTTTGCCATCTCCATTTTTTCTCTAAACAAAGCATGGCTGGTTACATGTTCTGAATTTACTTAGAATTTCGGGATTTTTTTTTCAAAATCAAGTAAACTAAATCAGAAAAAAAATCACACTATCCTAAAACTTATGAAAGAATATGAATAATGAACATGACAGTTTATAACACAAACCCATTTACTATAAAAATCGAGCAATATCTTTAGTATGTAATTTGGTTATTTTTGTAGTTAAGTACGGTTTCATTTCAAGTACAACGTTAATTCATCAAGTCCATTGAATAAAAGATAAGGCAGGGTGAGCAACTTGACAAAAAAAGGCAGGATGACGATTTATGTAAAAAATCAGGATAAACGAATAAATATATTCAGGACCTAACAGACTGAAAAATAGAAAGACAGGACAGAGATAACAACTAAAAAAAATGCAGGACAAAATGTTTCATCCAAGTCCTTCACCCCCAATCAAAATAAAATGGTAGCTCCCTTAATCCAGGACCAATTGAGAGGAGACAGTTGAATTTAATATTTCGACGTGACTGTTAAGATTAAAGTTTAAAATTTTACATGCACATGTATAAAAGCTAGAATTGCCATGCGATAATCAAGAACACAATCATGTTCGGGAATACGACGATGGAAGTTTTTAACGACCTTGACCGGCTACGTGAATACTGATCAGTCCATTCAGCTTTATAGTACGCGTGTTCTATTTTCGCAGGTGTGAGGTCGAAGGTTTGAATTGACCAATGAAAACGATCGTTCCTTAACGAGTTAATCTAATAAAGTTTGTTTGACTGATTATGTTGCACGACCTTTCGCTAAGCTTAACCGCAGTTCAGTGTAAGTATTCAATATAAATCAAAACACAAAGGTTATTCCTGATTAGTTTTTCGAATTATTTTATTTAGGCGTTGAGACCCTTTGGTGACCTCACAGTTTAAATGTCTATAATAAATACGTCGTGAGTTTTGGGCGTTACAGACGAACGTTCACCTAATCTGACCCAGTCAATGGGATATTTTTGCGCGCCAATCAATGGTCTCGGCTACACTGTTATGCACATGATTCTATTTTGTATGTCAGATCAAATTATGATCCAAGTATTCTTCATAGCACAGATGTGAAATGTTTAACCGTCCGTTCTTTTAATATTTGATATCATCGGCAAAATAAAGCTGCATGAATACCGAACAAGCCCGAAATTTTCATGTCTAAGTTTTTAAGGTCACATAATTTGATAACTAGCCTTAGCTGTGTATCAAATTACCGTAGATCTTGTTGAATGCTTGGTAAAACATTAGATTTCAAGGTCAAAGATCAAGGTCGAGGTAACAAAATTACAATGCTAACAGAACTAGATTTAAGTAATAATAAAGCTATAGTTCCACTTGAGACTATTACTACTACTACCCGTTATGGTAGATCAAGTTCCACATAGACTTTTATTTAAAATTTGTATAGAGATAACTCTGTATAATTTCGTAGTTAAAGATAAAGCACAAATCATTGTTCTTGTTTTGATGCAGTTTCGATGATCTGCTGTTTGCCTTCTTGTGTAACTGTATGATGACGTATATTTAATGTATGGTCTTTTGTTGGAAGCTGTTAAAAAGCCATTTTATTTTCTATTACAAGTCGCCATTGTGAAGTTGAAGCTCAGCTGCGTCTGTTTTATTTCTTCCTTGGTATAAACCATTAATAGTGTGTTTAGTCCAGTTTTAATTTACCTTAAAAGCTTGTGATGATCCATCTTTTAAGTGTTGTAAATTTTTGATAGTTTTTCCGATAGTTGGCTATAAAATTGTCAAAACGTCAGCAATTACTGCTAATAAAGATAGATTAGATATTACTACAACATCCGTAGCTAAAATAGTCTTCCCATTTACAGTTTAAATTGCCGACTGGCCATGTAACAGTATAGCATAATCATATAGAACTTCATACTACTTAATTATCAACTGGGTGATTGCTTTCAGGTTCAAAGTGTTTCATGTCTAATGAAATTGTAATAAAGTTATATGGAGGTTAAAGGAACAACGCTGCCTTGTTTTGACTTTTATCAAGTTGGACCTGATGTCTACGTACAAAGAGGAGATGATGATGATGATGATGATGATGATGATGATGGCGGATGGTGGTGAATGGCTGTTTAACGTCCAGCGGCAAGTTAAATGCATACTAGTATTCAGGACGAGAACTATATATATATATAGTTAATGTAGTATGGATCTTAAGTCTGCTTTGTACTAGAACTACACGTTGAGTCGGATTTTTAATGTGCTGGTTAACAAAGTAACAGTACAGAGGAATGTCACCCTACCCCGACACATTATTCTGACTGCGAGCCAACAAGTCTTTGCTCTTACTCCTTTTTGACGCGTGCTTAACGGAGAAGCAGCAAATACAAACTTTAAAGTCTTTAGTTTAATTCGGCTGGGGTTTGAACCCACGACCCCCCGCACTCAAGACGAACACGCTTCCACGAGACCACCGAGGCGGCATAAAGAGGAGATGTTAGTTTTCGAACATTCAAGATTATTTTCCTATTTGTAATATTATACTGATAAAACATTTGTCTCTGTGTACCTCGATTTCTATAATCACGATTATTAAGAAACACATCATTAATGAAACTTGAAGTCACGAAGAACAAATAACTCAAAAGTTATAATTACAAAATAAATCTGTATTTCATAATGATTAGTGTTCGTGTGAATGACAATTCTCTCCATACTTTTTTCCAATAAAATTAAATCTCGGCTATGTCATGTCTTCAGGTTTTGCGTCTTTGTATGTAAGCGATTAATATAACGCGTTTCGTAACTTGCTGACAGAATTCGATAAATGAATATGTGATTGCGTAGACGGCTTTCGTAGAGTAATCACATTTCTAGTTTATTTACATCGTATCTAGGTCTGTTTCCTTCAAACTATGTAAAATTTTCGTTTTTCAATCAAATGTTATCTCGTAATAAAAAAAAAAATGCTTTAATGTCTGAATTTCCCTAAAAATCGTTCGAATTGGACTATGACCTAGAATAATTAAATTCGTTATTAATACCTAGATATGCGTTCTCCCCGGTAGGATAGAGGTTTTAACACTCTTCACTACCCCTGTACACCGTTTGGCTTTAGGTTGTTAAAATCCCAATATTTACGGATATGAACATGAATAACTAAAATTATTTTCAATTATGATAACTTTATAGTGTTCATCTGTCCAAAGTATAGGAAGTCGCTCTAGTAGTTTTTCAGCTTATTTCTGTTGATTATCCTTTTGCGGACTTCGTTGGCAATGTTCTGATTCTTGTTATACAACACTTATTGCCGAAACCATTTCTTATCGACCTCTGTCTTACAAGCATTTTATGACGTGTTTCAGCCAGACAGGCTTTTTCAGCTTTTAAACCTTGTAACAAACAAGAAGACCAGTAAAGCTAGATTATTTAATTTCAGCTATACTGATCACGTTCTTTCCTTTAAAAATCCAATCTTTTTTTGATTGGGTCCAATTGAGATATAGACCTGAACTAGAGATTAAAGAAACCGAAAATATAGCTTCCACCACTTCATCTTTAGACATATACATTTGACTACAGAATCTATGAAAAACGAGACGATTTCAATGTTGAAATCACCTGAGCAGCAATATTGCAACTTCACTCGCGTATGGAGTACACATTTCTCAACTCATACGATTTCAAAAGCTTGCAGCGGCCATTCAGACTTTGTCAAACGTCATCGTGTCTGGGCAAAACTTCAATTAGCAAGGGTTTTGTAAAAGTACGTATCGTCCTTTTTCTAAAAAAGTTCATCGGAAAGTACCAACACCTAATAAAATAAATATTCAGCGTCTACTTCACAAATAGGACAGGGTGGTCTTGAGTTATTGATTGTATATGTGCCAACGTTGTGTCACATCTTATTTACAATTTACAGTTTTCCCTTTATTTGACTTTGTACTTTTATGTTTCTTTTAGTCGTATGCCTCTTGACGTACATCCAGCTATCAGCCTTTTGGCTTTGGGCGTTCCTGATGCAGGTGGGTCCAGAGGTATGATTCAGACGCATGAGGGTCTTATAGCGTTGTTTTTATTCTGTACTTATATTTACATATTGTAATTTATCGGGAAATAGTATATGAAATTATGTTTTACTATATACTGTAAGTACTATCAACTGCAAAAACTCATTGTTGCTGTCTTTATCAGATTTATTTGTATGCTTGTTTGGATTTTTAAGTCAGTTGTGTTTGTATGTCTGTGATGTATGTTTACACAGTTTTGTCTGCTGGATCCAAATTATTGTCACGTTAACCAGTTATGTCTGTTTGGGTTGATCACTCAATTTTGTCATTTTAACAGAGTCGGAAACTATAAACAACTGCCATACAAATGGGAGGTTAAGCTAGCTATTAAAATAAAGTTTAACCTACCACTTTCTTAAGAAAATGCATGAATCAAGTCAGGATTATGACATTTTTCCATTCGCTCCGTTGGTTGATCTAGACTAGCGTTTGATTTTTCAGGTTTTATGGACTTCCCCTTTTTTTTTAATTTACCTTGGTGTTCGGTATTTTAGTTATACTTTTTCGCTGTACCTTTGATATATTCGCCAACCTACTTGTATTTCAACGAGATTTTTTTTCTCTCGTGTAATTCGCTTTATGTTTTTTCTAGTCCTTATCTGATATATTCGTCTTGATGTAAAATAATAATAATAATAATAATAATAATAATGGTAATGGTGGAATATTTAAGGCTCGAAAATTTCTTCTCAATGGAAGTTTTAAATACTGAATATAATTTGCAAAAGGGAATTTTCAGGTTCCAGTTTATCGTATACGGATCATTGAAGCTAATTAATTCTATTATTTGAAATTTTCCAAAATGGAGAACTTTATTATGTGAATGTATATAACACCAGAAAAAGATGAATACTCATCTTTAAAGCAAAGATATTTCGTGTTTCTTTTATCCAGATTTATCTTTCGAAATTACAATGATGTGTTCAAGTTTCCTGTTGGTATTAGAAGACTGAGTAACGTTTTGTAAATAAAGGATAATCATGACCGTATAACAATTAATTTTGATTGATAAGAAATGACAGAATAACAGAGAGAGATAACAGATGGTCTAACCGAGCCTCATGCATGTGAAAGTCATTACATTGATTACACGATTAGATAATAACAATGGAAAATATCATCAGAGCATCAGATTTCTAGTTCATGTATAAATTTGCATTCATTGTTCACACTTGTTCTATTGATCTAGACGTGCATGTAAAAAATGCGCGTTGTCCTGTCAATGAATGAAATACCTTTACAACAGAAAACCCAGGTAGAAAATGTAAAACATTCAATATCAATTAAACAAATAATAAAAATTGTAACAACTCCGTTTAAATTGTGTACATCCGTTATCAAAATTGCCCAAATAGATATCAATCTTCAATTATACAATTCTCCGTTTTTCATTTTAAAATTGTATGTTAATAGTTATTAAACGAACACATAAACAACCGACCCTTATTAATCGTGCCAAATCTCGCAAAAGTCTGTCGTACTAATTATGCACTCAATACAGTGTCGAGGATGTTTAATTTCTCATTTCTCTTTTCAAAATGTCAATATGATTATATCATCTGTATATGATCATATTATATTGCTTTAAAGTTTGTAATTCAATGCAAATGATTAATTTATCTAAGTACTTAATTAACATCCATTGCAACAATACACAACAAATTGACCAATAAATCATCAGATACATCAACATGTACTTGTTATCAGTGTGGTAAATAAGGTTTCACCCTGTCCCGAGGTGTACGTTGTTAAACAAATGTCCAATCATTTCTTTATTACAAAGGTTACCCCCTACACTTGATTAATAAACAAACAAAGGAACGTGCCATGTTGTTCTTTGTGGAATGTCTTAACATCTTATATAAGTGTTGATAACAGTGGTATTGGTGATCGGCCTGTGAAGTAACATTACACCCTGCAGATAATTATAACCTCCATCGCTCCATTGTTATTAAAACTCAACTATAAAGTCAGTTTCACCGTGCATCATTTTCTGCATTAATGGTTAATTACTGAAGCAAGGTGTTCTGTATTTTCTATGAATACCTGTTAAAAAAGTTTAATGTATTTGTCAGATCTCATTCCGATATTCCCCATATGGCAGCAACAAATGGCTGCTGATGAGAGCTGACGCATGCGCTATTTGTATCTGATCTTCATCAATGTAAATGTTGGCAGATGAAGTGCTCTATTTTTAAAGTGGGACAAACAAAGTTTCTTATAAACATTGTAATTAGTATTTATAAACAATGTTAATTATGGGAGATAATACGTAATGAATTTACAAAATGAGGGATTTATTACACTTTTCTAGTGGATTAATACTTTTCTATGTGTTTTCTGTGGATTATTTAGCCAGCGGGGGTAAGTACACAAGTTTTGGCAAAATTTCTTAGTCGATAAAAAGTATCATGGGAGTGTTTGTTGCATGTCTTTGTTCTTCAAGTGAATGTACACTGGAAAGCACACTGACTACACACTGTTGATCTGACTTGACCTATGACCATAAAATTGTCAAATGAAAAACTTCCATAAGAACAAAGTTGAAATGTGTCGTATTGGGATTATTTTATATCATTTAATTTTCATTAGTTCTGTCATTTTCAGCAGTTACATGACCTTACATCTTTATATTAAAGATTCGTCCTAAGGTAAACCCGTATATCTAATGCTTGTGTAAGATGTGAAGTTATTAGCTTGATACTGTAATGATAAGTCCATTCTAAGTGACACTTTTTGATCGTTTAATATTTTCTAAATAAAAATCATATACGAGAGAGTTTTTAGTCATTATTATTATTATGGGCGTATCTCATGCACCGTGGTATATATAGTATTATTTGCATAGATATACTTTTGTATTTATTATAGTACTTTATTAATTTATGTTGTACTTTTTTGTGAAAAGTAAAATTAATTGTTATCATTCACGGCCTTTGGCTGCTTATAACATTTACAATTCATTATGGTATAAATGTACATGTGTTCTACGCATCAGTGACTATACTGTTACTACGATTATCCTTATAATAGGTAAATAATATCTTCAGTTACATTTCATATCATTTTATGTCTATTTCAGATTCAATCATCATTTTATCAGGTAGTTTTATGAGGGCCATCACCCTATTTATAACACCCATTGAAAGAATAGAAGTAAACCTTGACTATATACATATTTACGCTGTCTTTTCAATCTAGGAAATTGTGTATATTTCTATAATCCGATGACTTGTAGAACTTTATCTATTTTGCCCACCCTTACATTTTATGCAGCTTTTCATCGAAGCTAAAAATGATATTTTGGGGATTGGGATATTTTACTGTGGACTGAAGAAGCCTTGTTATTAATTCGGTTATTTTTTATTTCAAGTCCATCATTTTTATGTGAAGAAATTAAGTAAAGATATTTTTGGATAATGTTGGTGAAATTTCGAATTAAAAAACACGCACAGACAACCCTTTACCATGTTTACTAAAACAAACAAATCAAACAAATTTCAATGAATTATGTATTTATATTATTGATGCACTTGAACGAACCATGTCAGATTGTATACGTATCAATATTATGCACACGTTGACAAATCTACTGATTGACAAAAAGACTTCCAACCTTTCGGCCAAGATGTCTGACTTCTTGTCCCCAGACAAGCAGAAACCTTTCTCACTAATGGTCACCCAATCCAATTAGTTAACAAGATTATAATTTTCCAATAATTACACATAGGATGCAGGAAATTGTTTCCCTCTGTCCGTTTATTGTTTGATCATAAAGAAAGACGACAGTGTATTCTTTGATGTCTGATTCCTGGTGTCAGGCGGGGTCTCCAGGGAGGGTAAGGACGAGCGATTGCAATTTATTTATGGATAATAGAGTACTTTATGACAGTTATTGATCCATGTCATCCTTATGTTTTAGTCATTCAAATGATTGTTATGTAGATAAAAGTATAAAAGCGAAGATTTGTTACAACTGAATTATGATCAAACAAAATATGAGTTGATTCTCCTGAGGTAAAATGCAGGTAAACAAAGATTTCTATATCCAATATGAAATGAGTAAACACAAATTAGTGAAAATGGTAATTTAGAAATATTGGAAAACATTTTTTAAAGCATCGCTAGTTTATTGTCATTTATTTGTTTGGTCGAGAAAACTCTCAGAAACGTTAATTTTTAATATGCATTTGATAATTTGAAGTATTCATTAAACTGATTGTGATTTGCATTTAAATTGATTGCATGTTAATAATCTAAATATCTGATTATGATTTATTTCTGTACCGATAATCATTCAAGTTGTAAATGATCTGTACAATATGAAATGGCAACACTTTGCTGACAATCCCTTTTTGATGTACAATCCAAATTGATAGTATTAATAATATTAACAATGATGAATAATGATAAAAAGAAAGTCAGTGGGATCTAAGTAATGGTACACACTGTTGTCTTGGTCAATTTCTGAATTTGTCCCGTTATAAGGAACCCTTGGAGCCAAAATTCGTGAAAAGTCAATCTTTGCATGCTAGGACACCCGAAAATCATAGAACTATTTCAACTGATGTTTGCTTTATATAGAGGCACTGTTACAATATTGAAAAAATATTGGTTGATATGCGGTGTCATACAAGCCACTCCGTGAAACAAATTTGTTTGTATTAGGAATCGTGTAAAGAACATTCTTGCCAAGACTCAGACCGAAAATTATCTTTAGTTTTCACCGATTTTTTTATGTACAACATCCACATTTTTAAAGGATATGGTAACTCTCATAAAGTTTAAGTACTATGTTTCGACTCAGTTTGGTGTAAAACACTGAATGGTCAATATTGTTTTACCTTCTTGAATTCTGTTTTTAGTACCGACAGCTATTTTGATTTGTCAGCTGGAACATCCTATAGTTTTTAAATGGAAATTATTGCGAAGTATTGCTAAAACTTGCTCAGTTATGTAAGAGACAATAAAGAACATGTTATTAAAGGATATTCTTAATACCATGCTTTGCTTCAGTAATTTGTTAGATAGTGACTCTTAATTCAATAATTCTTGATCATTTTATACAGTTAGTTTGTCCTGCAACAGTTGTATTCATTGGAGTTTTGACGTTGACAAGACAATGAATAAATGTCAAACTAAATATTGTCGATTTATTGATGACCGTGTCATTACCGTTTAGAGGTGTTGGTGGTTGTCGTTAAATTCAATTCAGTAGCGAACTAGTTAGTAGACCGCTATCGAGCAGAGCTAGCGGTGATTTGTCATCCCCTAATTATCCTGTAGTGTAAAAAGCATTCCTGTCATTGCAAACTATAGCTTATTTACTGCAATATCCACCAGTTGATTGTATTTTCACGACTGCGACGTGACTTCTTGATGTCTAAGAATATTTTTCAATTACATTGTAATAGAACAGTGGGTTGTTGTTAATGAGTCAGTACATTAAGCGTTTTTGTTTCCACTGTTAAATGACCACTTTCAGATGATAACATTTGAAGATATATTAATGAATTATTAAACAAATAAACGAATGAACAAAAACAAACAAACACACTAATGAACGTAAAATCCAGGAAGATCGAGGAAGATAGTAAGCGAAATTTACTTATCAGATTTTATCTTGCATCAATCCTTCCGGCTCAAGATGGGGCACCGTCTCGGTGACTTATGATGAAGCCGACAGAAGTGAAGACAAAGGGCGGTTTGAAACTGTGCTAGAATAAAATCAATTGAATATATCCATGATTTTCACCACAAATCTCCTTCCATTTCGAAATTCGTAACGAATTTTACAGGATTTTGAAATTCGTACTAATAAGATTTTTAAAAAGACAAAAATTTATTTTATTTTACTCTTTTAACACTAAAAATATGATAAAAAAACAGCAGCGGAACTTTGTTCATGAGGCATTGTACTACAAGATTTTACTGTCGCTAAATCAAGTTCTGTTTCTATTTTGAAAATTACTTGAACTCTAAAACTTGTACTGACAGGGGTACAAACATCTTGATTGTAATTATACAAAAACTGAAAGTTGATTGCAGGCATGCATTCCAATAGATTACATTAATGATTATTGTCTGATTTCAGATGCATCGACTCCAATTTGATATACTTTTACTTGAAAACCTGTAAAATTATTTATTTCTGACTCATAACACTGCTTTTGGTCCTTAATTTCATTTATTTGATATATGTGTCCTTGTAAATACGTTAACTGGATATGATTGTATTCCTGTCAAGAAAAATAAACCTGATGAAAATAAACTAGTAGATTTGGAGAGAAATCAATACCTGGCACCCGAAATGTGTAAATATATTTTCTATATAAATATTCGATTGATATTCAACACATTAAATGTGTTAAGCTGATTATTAATGATAGATCAAATCAAAATATTTTGTTTCAAGTAGGGGTTTTAGGCAATAAACATAAACGGATGATAAATTGTTGCCACGGTTAGTTTACGTTGATTATAAACAATGCAACATGCATTAGAGGCTATACATATAGAAATGTGTTATTAGCTTATACGTTCGGTGACAAAATTTAGACTAGTAACGATTTTTGCATCTTTGGTTGAAGGGTATGAAATTTAATAACCACTGGAAAAAGATATCGATGATATGATGGAAAGGGACAAACATACTGCATTATATAAGGACCCATCAAATAGCTGTTGCAGGGATTCTTTAATTTACAGAGGACCTGACACTCCACCCAATCGAGGCTTTTGATTAGAAACTTCAATATGTATGTATCACACACAACCAAAATTTGGGGTCCTTTTTAGCATAAGTTAGTCTACCGGACGACATATAGTTTACTAAAAGAACTAATATGAACTTACAAACGAAGCAGTACAGACTTATCTTTTTGTTCCCTGGAACTAAATATTAAATATTGATGGATCATTTCATATCAGTGAATTAAAAGAATATTTGCGTAATCCATTAATTCGACTCTTAAGAGAGACAATGTGGCTAATGTCTCTAATCAATACACAAGAGAATTTAAAGTGTATTGATTTGTAATTTATATCATTTGATACCTGTCCAGGTAAATGTTAGTTACAAGCTTTGGTGATTGCTGTCACAAATATTGTTTAGAAATGACGTTAGAACAATTATTTCGAGTCCTTTATTTGCAAACAATTGCGAAAACATAATAAATTTGAATCGATTGAAGTTTGATATTTACTTCAAAGATATATTGGGAGCATCATGCGTTCAATCTAATGATGTACAAGACATTTCAGTTTGTATAACAAAAACAAGAGAAGTGACGGTGATAGATGATAAGAGTGCGTAGGAACAAGTTAAATCCTTTTCATGTCAACCATTACGGCATTCAGTTACA